GGCAGGTTTTGTAGAGGACAAGCCAGTGGAAGTAGCTTGCAATACAGCAGGGGTTCTGACTTACTCTTTAAATGTGGAGTTCTTTTCTGAATCTTCTAGAGACTGAAACTATACTTCCTTCCAACAAGTTAGCTTTAAACTATTAAAGTGAGATGTCTCAAAGAGGAAAAAAAAAAGGAATTTATGTGAAAATGTTATTTCCATAATTTTGACAGTAGCTTATGATAGAATGCAATGGAATAGTCACTTGATATGCTTACACGCATTTATGTGGAACCTGAGATCTGGTTGAGGGGTATTTAGTACAGGGGCCTAGGTTGGGGTGTGCCAAAAATGTTGGAATGCCACCTTTATGCTCCTGGAATACTGGATATTGTAAGGGCTGCCTTAACATAGGCTGCCAAGCATTGGTCCTTGCTGGGTGCATCTACACATGCGCTTTAATGCACATTAGCCTATTTTAATGTGCATTAAATATGCTATTTAGTTAATGCACATTAAAATAGGCTAATGTGCATTAAGCATCACTTAAAAACTGTGGGTGCCTATACACAAGCAGAGAGGCTGCTCCAATGCGTTGGAATTCCAGTACGTCAGAGTAGAATTTATTAACTGAGTCTGCTGGTGCATGGCAATTACCACAATCCAGCAGCCTTTTGCGTCTCACGTATCGGTGTCCCCGCGCTTCAGAATGGCAGGGGAGGTGCTTTATCTGAATCTCATTCAATCAGTTTTAGATAATGTGCCCCCACTGTCATTTTTAAGTGTGGGGACACTGATACATGAGACTTTCCAGGCACTTTTATTAGAGTGGCTCTTGGAGCTGCTGTAATTAAAGCACCTCCCCCCCCCAGAGTACATGTATAAATGCCCTGTGCTCCTAGGTTAATATGCATTAAGACAGGCTAGTGTGCATTTTCCTAGTACCTCACAATGGAGGGCACTTTTACATGTGCTCTGGGTTATAGGAGGCAGTGCTTTAATTAGAGCAGCCCTGAGTGGCTCCTATGGCTGCACTAATTAAAGCATTGCAGCTTCTTGTTTATTAGCGTCCCTGTGCTTAAAAATGGCAGTGGGGGTGCCTGAACTAAAGCTCCTTGAATGAGCTTTAGTACAAGTGCCCACACCACTATTTTTAATTGTGTGGATGCTGATAAACAAGATGTGGGAGGCAGCTGGAGCACAGTAATTACCACGCTCCAGGCTCGATTAATTGAGGCTGCTCCAATGTGCTGTAATTACAGAGCATCAGAGCAGCCTCTGTGCTCATGTACAGGCACCTGGAGGTACTAGAATTTAATGTGCATTAACTAAAGCACATCAATGCACGTGTAGATGCACCAACTGTTATGCTGCCAAAGGAATGCCACAGTGCTGTTGTATACCTGTTTTATTCATCTCATACCAGTAGATGGTTTGGTCTTGTATTGGCTTTAGAGCACAGAGAATTTTCAGATGTCTACTTGGAGCAGGTGTAGGATCCCTTTTCACTGCAGCAGCAACATAAAGGCACTAGTACAGGACATAATCTGTGTATCAAATAAGGTAGGCAGGCCCGGTGCGCCCACAAAGCCTTAGACACTAAAATGCTTTTTTCCTGCAGACAGAATCCCAGACCAGAAACAAATTAATGTACCTTCATTTGTGTTCACACAAATACACTAGTCGGAGGATAAGGTCATGGCACTCTCTAGAAGCAACGGAGTTTAAGCTGACAGCATCTTTCACCATTCATGACAGGCATCAAGTTGATTAAACAAAATACATCTTAAAGTACTATAATACTCTTATGTTGTACTGTGCTCACCATCAGGTCCTAATGTTTTTTCCCATGGGCTGATCACACCTACAAGCACCCCTTTCCCCATTCTGCTTGTCACTGCTCCCCCAAATCTTTCTTTCTTCTCTCTATTCAAGATATTTCCATGTTAAGGCAGTTGAAATTGTCACTATTATTATTATAGGCATCACAATTAAGTACAGTGTGCAACATAGTAATTAAATATCAAAACTTAAACACAATGGGAAGAACTTTTAATATTCTACTAACCAAAATAATGCATCTTCATAATAAAATCAATCATTTCCAGAATGACAGATCAGGAAAGTGAAGTGGGATTAAAAAAAATAAATAAAAAGGTGGCTCAAACCAAATTACCATTAATGAAAAAATTATTCCCAGCCTCATACAAGTTCAATATAAGTGACTGTCTTACTGAAACATGGACAAAAAATTCCCATTGAGCCCTAGCCATTTCACAAGAAAAGTAGGCCTTTTTCTTTTTAAAGTTTTAAGCTGCATAATGTTAAGAAAATTAAGTGATCCAAATTATAGTCCCAATTTAGAGAGGGAACATATTCACACATTATAAATCTTAAAACAAGTTAAAAGAAGGGTATTAAGGAAGACAATATGCCAAACCCTAAAAAGACTTTGAGGAACTTTTTTTCGAACTATAATGGACAAAAAAATAAAGGTTTAGAAAAATAAAATTATATAACTAGGAACTCAAAAACACACAAACTCATTTAAGAATTATGTTGATAACAAAGGATAATTATGTTGAATTAAGACATTAAAATTAAGCAATATGATGCTTGTTGGAAGAATGGATATGGAATTAAAATTTAACTGTGTACCTGTTCCTATGTCTTGTGGTGTGGTTGGTGCATATTTAAGGGCCAGATTCAGCACAAATAATGGCCAATCTTCTAAGTATGTGCATACATGTGTTCAAATAATTTGGGAGAATTCTCCAAGGTTTGTTCTCCCGGTAGAAAAACTTACCTAGATATGCCTGAATAGACATTTGCATGCTGAGCTCTTAGAGAACAAAAAGCTTGCAGGTCTGATGCTCTGCAGCTGGGGGGCCCTGTGCACCCATCTAAGTGTGCTCTGAAGACTCCCTTAGACTGCGTAGAGACAGAACAGCAGCAGTGCACAGGATAGTCCTGATCGACTGACTCAGACTGCGTGCATTTCCCCACAGCACAATGTGAGGATTGTGAAGAGGGCATGTTCTGTTCCCTGGTCAGCTGGAGCAGCAGAGTCTAGAAAGAAATGCAGTTTCTCTCTGGTGGGAGAGTGAGAACAAAGCACTCTTGGATGCTGGTAGACTATGCTGGTGGATTATGCTGTGAACACTCTCCTGGGAGTGATTTAACCCTGGTTGTTGCCAAATTATTTTTCTTTTGGTGTGGTCATTTTTCCTTTGGGGAAAAAAATCCTGAACTTCTGTATGCTTGTGGTTTCTCCTGGGAGAGCAGCAACTCTCTCAGGAGAAACTGAATGTTTGAACATGGCCTGAGGAGGAAGACTGTAGAGAAGCTCTGAAACATCTCTGCATGGCTGGAGTCATACTATAGCATAGATCCAAAGAACCCATACCTGTGTGAATCCTATGGCCTTGCCATTGTCCCACAGATATCTATTCACTTGTTGGCACTGGATTTTACCATCACTTTACCACCACTTGCCATTGCATTTTACACAGGAAAATATACAAGGTAGTGATGAATCAGGAGTTCCGTATTTTTAGAAACCAGACAAAATACAAAGGTAACCATGCCTTTGCTCTAGCAATTCTACTCGTAAGACTTTTAGTACTCTTGTTCAGCAAGCAAATCGATCAATTAAATTTATATTCCCCACCTATCCGAAGCTGTTAAACACTTAAAAGTGCATTTCACTTTTCTCCTAACTCTCATAATGATAGGAGACTTACAAAAACTACAAAAATGTGTCTCTTCTCACTACAGCAGAAATACAAATTTTTCAGAGTACCTATTTATTCTTCAACTTTTGCTGGGCAACTACATTTTTTCTGTGTTTGGACAGTTTTCAGTGATATTACCTGGCATGTTTTTCACTGAGGCCACTGACAGGAGTTAAAAAGAAGGTGTGCTTGGTATGTAATGTGCATCCCATTGTGCTTCCTGCCATGCTGCACATGCATGGCAAGAGGTGTGACTGTGGGATCAAGTATCAGATTTTGTCATGCCACGCTGTCGGTGCAGGCAGCAATTCTACAGCCTGCGCTAGTCTTTGTTCCTGTGACTGGAAATGCAGGGTAAACCCCCCTGGCTAGGAGCTTCTATCAGCTAATGAGTCTCCCAGCTGCAGGGGTTAGGGATCCACCAAGATTGGGAGCTCCCAGCCGAGGGAGCTCATTGTACTCATCCAGCTGGACCCCCTGATCAGCTGACTAGTAAGTACTCCTAGATTTGGGAGTATATGGATTTGCGTTCGGGAGGCTGAGAGCACTGGCCATACATCAGTTAAAGTCATGGTATGAACCAGCAACAATATGATTTCACATATTTTGTGTAGTGACTTTAGCACTTATTTATTCCTCATTTTATCATGCCATTAACTGAATGAATGTGAAGCTACATCTGTGTAAGTGTAACATGTCAGGGGCCTGAGAGAGAGAATCCCAGAACTCGGGCATTTAACACAGCCAAAATGGGGGAAATTTAATGTAACCTAGAATATAGTTGGATTTCAAATCAAGAGAAGCCTCTGTCATAGTATGAGTATAAACAGGATGTTATATCCATGTGCATAATATTCTGGCCTGTAAATATCAGTGACCAGATAGACAATTTAGTGAAACTGGTACAACTCTCAAATAATGTACTGAGCTGCTGATGAGTTGAATGAAACAAAGTCTATTATTTAATGTCTTATCTATTCTTAAATGAGAAGCAGAAAGATCCTTCCAGCAGTTGCACTGCTTGTTATTCTTTCAGTTTTAGTCCACTCTTCACTGATTTCAACACCACCTACTTTCCCAGCTCTTTACAAGACATGCTTTCTAGGTGTCATCTGTTAGCTAATTAGCTGCAAGCTAATTTTCAAGGAACTTGTAAGTAGCTTTTCCTTGAAACCCAATGTTAAAACAGACGAGGAATATCTCTACTTGCAATGCATGCTGCCAGTCATATTGACAAATTTCATAGAACTACCTAATAATTAGCTGCTCTCTTTCCTTCTACAGTTGTGGTAGTAGTTGGAAGATACAGGACCTGGACAGAACACTGAATTACCCCAAATCTCTGGTAGACGATGATGACAATTTAATTTGAGTTGTATTATCCTGTTGAAAATTCTTAATGGAATGGAGCAAGACTTTTCAAAGAGAAGTTTATTTTAATGAAGGTCCTGGCTTTGGGGAACCCATGGAAGAGGGGCAAGGGCCAGGAAAAAATGCACAAGCTCCTTGCTTTCTATTTATGCCAGACTTCTAGAGACAGTAGCGTGAGCATTGTGGACAGGGCATAACCGAGATCCTCCAGAGGCAGAAAACTTCTGCCCCACCTATTGGTAGAATACTTCCTGTATGACCAGTGTCACACTTGTTGAGGAGCTACTTATATTTGTATAATTACTTACATAGATACCTACTAACCTAATAACCATATCAAAATTCTTTCAAAGCTTGCCCTGGAGTTACCAACTGTCATGGAGCCAACTTGATCAACATAGACCTGGAAATATAATCCACTTTCTCACCACAGTTCTTGTGTATTATATTCATAGTTTCATGGTTGGTAGGGTCGGAAGGGACCTGAGCAGATCATCAAGTCCAACCCCCTGCCATGGCAGGAAAAAGTACTGGGGTCAAATGACCCCAGCAAGGTGTTCGTCTAACCTCCTCTTAAAGACCCCCAGGGTAGGAGCCAGCACCACTTCGCTTGGAAGTTGGTTCTAGATCCTAGCTGCCCTGAGAGTGAAGTGGCGCCTCCTGAATGTGGAACACTGCAGAGGTGTTGGCACTTTTCTATTAAAGGCCTCACTTTAAGGTATTACTCAGGGTATATGCAGATGTAACAATTGAGTTGGTAACAAAATAGACCATACAAGCTGTTACAGTGAGACTATTGCATTTGCCTCATTCTGTGGTAATGTTTAGGAAACCCACTCCAGTTTTAACCCTGCTTCATTCAGGGTCAAATTTAGAGAGCTCTAACTTGTATCACTATGGCCCCAGCACATGTTCATTTAGTGGTGTAATAGGATCTGATCCCTGATCCCAACAATTGTGCCTTCTGCCATGTCTCACAATTTTGGGATAGGAGATCAGATCCAAATCATGTCAATATTACCAGTGCAGGGAAAGACCAGGATAATAATCCCAGGCTCCCCATCTATCAGAAAGTTCAAAGACGCGTGCTGCAGCCTGACACGCACGGGCAGGGCTGGGCAAGGCAGGGCAGTCAGCTGCTTGTTATCCCTGGCTGGTCAGCCCTAGGTCTGGTTTATCTGGGGCTGCCCTAGTAGACAATCAGCGGACTGTTGGCCCTTGCCCAAACATCCCTGGGTTTTTCCCCCACTGAGTACTTTAAACCCCATGCCAGGCAGCTCTGGCTGCGCTACCAGGTGCAGGGTTTAAAGTCCCCAGTGGGAGAAGCCATTTAGTTCCCTCGACTGTGAGCCTCTGATTCCTCCCATGCTTGACAATCCAGCCAGAAGTTCTGGGAGCAGCGTTTAAAGTCTCCAGCAGGGAAAACACTCAGACTAGCCCCCTGCCTTAGCGTGCTAACCTTGGCCCCGGGACTTAGCTGGTTTTTGGTCCTGGCCACACATTTAAAGGCACTTTACAAACCAACCATAAAAATATGCTGCATTCTACATGGAATATTTTTATAGCTCATTTCCCATTTTATGGTGCCTTAAAATGGGTGAATAAGTAGCATCCACTATTAGCATCCATTTATACCACGATTAAAATGTTAAATCATAGCATAAATGTAATGTGTGAGGAGGCCTATTAGATCATGCAGACCTACAGTTAGATGGCAACAACTTCTCCATGCTCGAGAGCAGCCCTTTTCCCTCCTTTTTTTAAGGTGGGCAAAAATGTCTTTTTGTCCATACCCTGAATTCAGCTTTACTGGATGCATCTGCCAGGAGAGCTAATAGTTGTCTAAATAGGAGTCTGTTACAGACCTTGGCCAGAAAAAGGGAGGACAATACGGGGAGCCAAGAATATGGCATTAAAACAGAATAGACGAAACAATGAAAAACAGTAAGGTCAATAAGGTTCATTCCTTGGAAGAAAGTCTTTACTGGCTGTACTTGTTCCTAAGTAGGGCTTTCTCTGATTTAATTTGTGATTTAAAAAAAATTTTTTTTTCTGATTAAAACTCACGAAAATCTATGTTTTCCCATGATTAAAATGAAACAACACACACACACACACACACACACACACACACACACACACACACACACACACGTCCCAGTAGAACAAGTTTTATTGATATATTTACAATTTTAAAGCAATTTGGAAGTCTACCAGTGCCTCAATCGCTATAATAAAATAAATTCGAAATATCTGTAAATGTTCGCGATTGATTTGGGGTTTTTATCATGGAAAATGAGAGCTCCCCTTGCCCCCTTCAGTCGCCAGGGCATGGGTCCAGTTGCAGGTTGTCCCCATCCCCACACTGTTTTGTACCATTGAGCGGCCCTGTTATGCCGATGCCCTGCCCATGCCAGTACCCCTCACTCGCAAGTCACAGCCTCCCAGCCCTGCTGGTCACACACAGCCTCCTGCCCTCCCCCACACCGCCCCCCAGCCCTGCCAGAAGAGGCCAGAGCTATGGGACCAGGGACCCAGATCCACAGCACCCTGCCCCCCCAACATCACCTGAGCCCTAGCTGCCTCATGTGGGAGGTGGCAACTGCTGCAGTGAATTGGAGTCCAGAGCCCAACTCCATCTCCCCCATGTGTAGCACAGCTAGAGCAGAGCCCATGAGGGCATGGATGGATGCAGCCTGCCTGCTGTGGGATCAGGATCCCTGCCCTGCTGCACTCCTGCTGGGGCTTCCGCAGCCCAGTGGGCAGGACTTGGTGTGGCAGGGCAGAGCTGGGCTGGGTGGGGAAACTCGGTGCTGTTGCTGCGAGCCCCTTGCTGCCATGGCGAGGCACCCTCTTCCTGCCCAGCAGCAGCAAGGGGCACAGCCCTGCACCGCCGCCCCTGCTGCTGCCAGGTAGACAGGTGGCACCTTGCCATGGTAGTGCGGGTCTGGTAGCAGTGCTCTGCCCTGCCCTGTCCTGCCACACCAGGTCTCACCCACTGGGCCACAGAAGCCCCAGGGGAAAGGCAGCGGGGCAGGGGAGCCTTCCCCCGCCCTGCACACAAATCTGGGGAGCCCATGTCCCCCATAGCCTCCCTGTCACAGGACTGCATGGAGCAGTAGGGAGCCAGCCCCCCAGATGAGCCTCCCATGGCTCCATCCTGCTCTCTGCCTGGGCCCTGCAGCCGTGCATTCCAGCCCTGGGCCCCAAACCCTACCGCCCATCCCAGCTGGGTAGCATCCCCAGGCCTGCCCAACTCCCTCCCTCCCTATGGGGGCCTCAGCCTTCCCCCCCACCCCTTCCCCACCAGACTTACCTGTGGGAGCTGCTCTCCAGGGTGCCTGGCAGCCTGTGTGCATGTGTAGCCTGCAACCCACGGTTTCCCACGTTTCCTCTTTGAAGGAGAAAATCTGGGTTTTCCTCCTTAAAATGAGAAAATGTGGGTTTTACCACGTTTTTCCATGGTGAATGGAAAACCCGGATCCCTGTTCATAAGTAATCTCATATTGAAGTTATAGTTTTGGAAAGGAAGAGGAAAGTGGTTTAAAAAGACCGCTCATTAGTTCCTTGTTGGGAATCTCTTGCAAAATGTGGGAAACTAGCTTTGTACCATTGTGCTTTTATAGAAGGAAAAATATTTCATAGGTACAGTAATATATTTCTAGATACTGGAAGGATTTATTTTTTCTGTGTGGCCTATCTGTGACAGTGTTACATTATACCTGTGAAGTTTGGCAACATTTTCAGTATTTTACCAATAGTGTTAGGCTGCTTGCAGAGGTTAAAAAACAAAAACAAAGAGGCACTTTACTTTAAACTCCATACACTCCTGCGCTGGGCCCAGCGCATGCCCAGAAAAGGCAACGCACTAATTGGACCCCACTTGCTTGATATCTATATAGATTGGGAGCTTTATTGGGTGGTTTTGGCACTTTTATCTAATAGCTGATTGAATCAGCTATTGGGTAAAAGAGCCAAAAAGCCACGCTGAAGTGCCTGATCTATACAGATACTGCAGAGCCAGGTCAAAATAACATGCTGCTTTTTCTAGTAAAGCATGTTTTTTGTTTGTTGGTTTGTTTGTTTTTAATATCTGCAAGCAGCTATAGTAAACTTAATTTTAACAGATATATATATTAATTAAAACTTTAAAAGATTTAGGAAACAAGAATAACTCTGGACCATCTTTCCCCTTTTGTGTATACAGAGCCTAGTGCCTTTGTAATCTGATCACGACTGGCCACTACGAGTCAAAGTAATGCAGAAAAAAGGTAAAAATAATGTTATAATCATAGCATTAATACTAATATAATCATGCTATATTGGTATTATTATATTCCCAGAATAGGGATAGGGAATAACCAGCCTGACTAATCTTTATAACAGTTGCATTCCATTTTCATCTCTTTTACTCAACTAAATCCTAATCTTTGAATCAGATCCCTATAATTAAGACCAGATGGCAAGTGCATTTCTCAGTAGATAACCTATGAGCAAGGTTTTCAGTAAGAAATGCAACCCAAAATATTGAGGATCTTTTTTTCAGTTAAAATATTGCTTAGGAGCACTGTGAGTTATTGAGTTAACAGATTTTGCTAATTTAATTTTTAAAACAGCATTGCTCTTCTATTTCTTTAGCAATATATAACCAAAATCTACATTGAAATCTACTTTCAGTTTTCTAAGTCATTAAAAATCATCTGACCTGGAACTAAGAAGTAAAAACATGTGCAGAACTGATCACTTAGTTTCATTAATATGTATAAACCTAAAATCAGAGTGTCTGCAAAGATGCACGTGCAAAAGAGTTAGGAAATTAAACATCTTGGGTGAGACGCATCATTTCTCTTGGAATTAAGTGGGGAGAGTTACTTTGACCATTTCATAATTTATTTCTCTAGCTCAGAGAATGTCTTGGTATCCTATTAAACTGTTCATTGGGGGTTTGCATTTATGTTTTTATTTTACTTGGCTGGAACCCTGCTGTGTATGATTTCTGCATGTCAAGAAATCGTTGAATCCAAGTCAAGGACTTCATCTACATTATTAACAATTTAAAACAGTCCTCAAGGTGCCTTAAATATTTTGAAGGGAATGTGCAGGAAAGTATACGGAAGTGAACAAATAAATTAAAAACTCATGAACTGGTTTACAGTTGGGGGGCAAAGGTTGAAGTTGAAGTGAAGAATTCATGTGTATTTGGGTCCTGGGTGTATGTGTGCTGCTGGTGAATTAGAGACCTCTTGCCCTGCTTTGGCACCCTGCATAGTGTACATACAAACTCTTCTACAAGCCCTATGCATGGTTTAGTGGCCAATGCTGATATTTTGGGGGAGGTGAGGTAAGTAGGGAATGTTCTGTGGAATCTCTTTTCACCTTCTCTCCTTATTTCCATATCCTAACTTTCCTTAGTTTCTTCTGTCCTTCACTGCACAGCAAAATGGAGCATAGTTATCAGAAGTGCTAAACAATTCAGGCAGTAACTGGAAATACGTAACAGATAAGCCCTCAGTACCTTTTCTCTGAGGAAACTCAGCAGACAGGAGTTCAGGACTGAACTCTGGGTCTTGAGAGAATTTTTATGTTTTTCAGATACTGTGAGTAGGTTCAGAAAACTTTGTGTGCGATAAGAACCTATATGACCTACTATCTTGGAAGTACCTGAGGTTTATGATTATGCTATAAAATACTAATACCTTGAAATATTTCCAACATGTGTCAGTGTGTAACCATAAATATTTATATACTGGACACACACTATTTAAAGCTTGGTCACAGTCTTCCCGTGACAAGTATTAGTGTCTGTACCAACAATACATTAGTTCAGGAAGAAGAGGGATTTTAACACAGTTTTTGGGATGTTGCCATTGCATTCTGCTTTGATGGGGTATATTATTCTTATAAGTTATTTTACAGAGTCAGTTTACTCATCCAGATATTTTTCAGAAGCAGTCTTAAAACAATACTTCTACTTCATAGCATGGAACAATTTAATTGGTCTCTGGGTGCTTAAAACTATCCAAGACATTTAAAGCCCTTGGCTGCTTCTCTTTTAGAAGTTTAAATTCAACGTAGGTCTTCTAATGAAAATCCATTTGTTTTTAGCTAGAAAGTTTAGCAAGAATTGCTGTCCCAAAAGTTGGGAGCTTTTTTTTTTCAATTTCAAAACTTATGTACATTTAAACTTAAGTTAAAATGCTTAACTACCTTTTACAGATGTTTGAGAATGTTGTAGCTCGGTGACTTTCCGGGTACCCTGCCCTGCAGTCTGCCATGTATTGCTTTCTCTCTCATCTACAGAGCTTTTGGGTAGGAGGAGAAGCATCAGTATTCTACATAGTTTCATGTTGGGTCTCTACATTTTTGAAAGAGCAAGGTTGCATTTTGTGAGTTTTAAGGACATTAATAACCTGTTTGGTTTTTTTTGCTTCTGATTATTTGTGTGGCTGTCAACTTCAAAAAGGCTCTTACAGCTTAGCACTGGTGCACACTTAAACATTCAGTACTTCATGGAGTTAATGGAGTCCGAGAAATTTTATCCTGTAAACATCCTCTTCCTTTTTATTCCTGTAGACTTACCCTAATGATTGATATCCTATGTGATTGATTGTCCATTTATTCAGTATTCTAGGAAAGGAGTGACTTTTATTACTTTTTAATCCCATCTCCCTCTGTAGGGAAGTCTGTTCTGATCTCTGTGGAAATCTCTAGTCAGGCCCTAGTCCTTTAAACCTCTGACGGTTGATGAGCCAGACTTTTAAGTTGAATCTCAAATGTAATCAAAGCACTGTATTAGAATAATATCCATATGGAGCTCTTACAAAATGATACATTGCAGAAGTTGTTTTTACAAACAAATGTTTTTACTCACAATTTATTTATGGCAATGCAGCAAGGGAACACTGGATTTTATTCTTGGTTACATATGTTTTGGTATTTTTTGTACTAGGCTGCTCCAATGTTGTCACATTTTATACATCAAGCACATCTGGGTGGAAACTGTTCCTAATATTATATTTCATAATATAAAAGGCATTTATTCACAATGGCTCATATGAAGGAAAGACTTGGTGCCCCTATTTTAGAGACTACTCATACGTGTAAAATTACTCTTAATCAAAGTGAGATCTAAAAATATCTTCCACAGGGAAATGAAATTCAAGCATACCGTCAGCAGAGAAGCCACAGAAGTCACTACAGATCTTCTTGCTGACATGTGCTCATTCTTTTGCTAATGAACTGAAACGTCTGAAATAATACCCTTGCACCCTGACACCTACATTTTGTTGGCTGGCAATTGATAGCATTTGGAAGAAGGAAAAAGAGGGGCCTTCTGTACTTGGCATGTTTTATTTAATAAATGTATACATGATGTTAATATTTGTATATGGTATTTATGCAGAGGCTCTAAGTCTCTCAGATATCTGCTAAATGAATAGAATTAAAATGAGTATAATTTGGGTTTTGCTTGCATAGTATCTCTTTGTTTATGCTATGAATGAAAAATGGTTGTCACAAATGAACGGAAAGCTCTGCGCAGTATGTAAGCAGAGGGAGAAGCTGCAGGTTTGTTTTCATGCTGTCTTTTGCCTCTATTAGCAGGAGCATTCCTGGTCACAGATGGAATAAGATTCTGTAGGTATTGACACACAATCCTCAGAATATACTATTCAGGATACATGTTTGTGATCCATATAGAAAACTAGATCCTGGACGTAAAGAAAATAGGGTTAGTGTCTCTGAAAAGGTGTCAGTGATTGGAACTATTTTTTATTCCAATGAAACATAAATGGGTTGGTTTGCTTACAGGCCATTTCAGTCAGCCAGCTCTTAGGAACAAGTTTTCTTGGGAGCGTGTTATTAGCTGACTGCCACTGCTTTACAGAAAAACAAAGACTTCTTTCTCCCATAACACTATTGAATATTAGTCACCTAACAAAATTAGCAAAGTCAATAGTGTTTTCATCATACCTATTTTCTGACTAGTATTCTTCATTTTCATTTCAATCATATTTTTGGAATTGAGAATTTTCCACTTGTAATATTGCACGGCAGTACCATTTTGTTGTTAGCTTGGGTGAAAGCACAGTGGTTCATGGGAACAACAGATATTCTGAGGACTCTGGAGATATGCCTATGTAGTGAGTTGTCACAGCATGGATTCAGGTGCCTAAGTTTAGGCAGCAAAGTTTATTTGCTTGTTCTCCCTCTTCTCACAGATAGCGACCACTTGAGAGAGGAAAAGCTCAGGGTTCCATTAGCGTCTTAATACAGGGGTTTTCAGTCTTTTTAAAGAACTGTACCCTTGGTGGCCGTGTTTTTAATACACAAACCCCCCCGGGGAGGGGGGGGGGGGGGGGGCGGCGGGCACACCCACCCCCCCGGGGGGGGGGGGGGGGGGATGAGCGGCCGGACATGGAGCTGGGGTGGGGGTGGCTAGCAGCTGGATGCAGAGTGAGGGTGTTGTGAGCAGCGGCAGCACAGTGTCTGTGTGGCCCTGCCCTCGCCCCATGCTGGCCCTGCTCCTGAGGGGCAGTGGCATGGGGGGGCCCCGCATACCCCCTGGGATCTTTCAGAGTACCCCCAGGGGTACGCATACCCCTGGATGACAGTCCCTGCCTTAATAGATAGTTTTGATCTCATGAGAAATGTGTAAGGAAAGATGCTGGGGCAGATGCACATACTTTATTCAGAGAACCAGATTTTGCAAGAATACTGGAAAAAAACCGAAACTACATTTTTGTTTCGTGTTGGCATCTCAACTGTTAAACAAAATAGTACAATAAAATTTTAAAACAGCATGTATCTTATCCTCCTTTTCCTATACCTTTGTTTTCAACATTGCTACACTTCTGTAAAAAATTGCACACCATTTTCATCTGATACTAATTTAACTTTGAACTAATGTAACTTGCACCTTTGATGGAATGATTTCATCAGTATATTAGGAAGTAGAAAATTCAAGCTCAGCTTTAAAAGATGCTGTATAAAGGTGTTTCTTCTCCAGAATCAAGAGAAATGGAGAGTGAGAAGGGATGTTACTGATGTTGGGGGGCCTGATAGCTTTTATATTTCCTAGAAGTTCTGTATTGCTAGAAGTCTGCACCCAATGAGCCAATCATACCTCAGCAAAACTAATGCAAGAATAGCCTTCATACTTGAGAGATATACAGAAGTATCACTAGCAGTCAGCACCTACTAAGTTGCCTTGCTCATCTTTTTTCCTCAAGACTGGGGAATTTTTAGGAATGGAGTTGTAGAACGAAGCACTAAAGAATACTGCAAAAATGAGATCTGAGAGTTTTAACCAAAGTGAACATGTACAGTAAAAAAAAAAAAAAAGGTGGGGATCTGTAGTAATTATGACATTTGTAGTGATGGTATTGACAATCTGACATGGCACAGTCTCGTTTACAGTGGGAATGATTTGCAGTCAGCAGATAAGTATGATTCTTACCCAGGTCATCATCAGTTGTAAGCAATGTTGCTAGCAGTGGGCCTTGCCAACCACACCTGTTGTTATCATGTTGCCCTATTACAAAATTATTTTTAATTTCAAAGTTTATATAGTAAACAAAAGACAGTGCTAAAGACAGTGACAGTAAATTCAGGGAGAGGAAATATAACTCTATCTGAACCAGACAAAAAGCCTGTTAATCTCCAGATCCTCAAGTTGTTCCATGGGACATTTAGTTGAATAATTGTAGTCACAGATTTATTGAAAGTTTAGTTACTTATTTTCAAAGTAGCATGCATATTGTAGCATTGGTTTAGGTTAACTGTAAGAGTACCTACTAATCATTTCTTCAGTACAATAAATAGCTTTATAATATTGTATTTTGAAACATTTATCTCAAATATTTATTCTTGGCTTTGCCTTTTTTTGCTGTTTCTGGCTTATTTTGTGTCTGGCCCTCTGGGCATCTCTGAGGGAGGATGCAAAAAGAGCTCCCTATGAGCTCCCTAAGCAAAGGGCCCATACCTGTTGAAGTGTCTTTCGGAGAACTGCTTCTGCCATGTGCTTCCCCAAGCACAGTCTACCTCAAAGGGGCCCAAAGAAAACCAAGGGACACCTAGTATACATATCTGACAACTAAGATGTAGCTTCCTTTGCTTCTCCTCCTGGTTTCTATCCTGCACTGAATAGGTAGGGAGAGACTCTTCTACTTGAGCCTTTTCCTTAATCACAAAGGTAATGGGGCTGGTCCCCCTCAACAGCCAGCCACCATAACTTGACTTTCCAAGTTTACAGAATGGAATTGGCCTTTAAAGTGACTACATGAAAATAGTACTTTCTAATTCAAATAACCTGTGCCCTGCATGTTGTCATTTTGTGTCTCAGACATGGGCAGATTTTCACAGATATGCCACAAATTGGGCAACTTATAAGCCTTTATAAACATCAAAGTTCATACATACTCAGAAAGTACTTGTTAGGGCTTTGTAGCTCAGTTTTCCAAAGATTCTGAACATGTCTGGTGCAGAGACTAAGCTGAGTCTAAGCTGAGCCGACTGTCCTTGCAAATCTAAACTCCTGCAGTTCTACATATACACTTCAGTGATAGCAAAATATTTTGTTAAGCTTTATATTCTAGTTGCACTTAAAGCCAAAATGGTAGAGGAGTTAGATTCAGTTAAAGAAATTTACAAAATATTGTATCATAAGAGTATAAGCCAGCATACACTAAATGCAGTGCGTTTTCATAGGCTGTTGAGTGCTTAGTCTTGCCCAAAGAGCCTATATTGTTATTTTTGATAATGAGTATGAAAGAACACACTCTAAATTGATTTTAGTAGCATGATAATACAAATAAAATAATGTTAAGGCAGGGTTTTCAGGGATGACATTAAGAACTTATTTAGTCTAAATGTATCTCATACAGGGGTAGACCTTGGAGGTGAGCACCAATGCACCTGCATGCCCCCCTTCCCCTTTGATTCTTGGTCCAGCCATAGTTTAAAACCAACTGCCTGGCAGCAGCACCAGCATTTTTAGATAGGCAATGCTGAGGAACTCAATTCATAGTGCTTAGGGTTGGAAGGGACCTAAACAGATCATCAGGTCTGACCCCCTGCCCCGGGCAGAAACGAGTGTGGGGTCATAATATCCCAGTCAAATATCTGTCTAGCCTCCTCCTGAAGACCCCCAAGGTAGGAGAGAGCACCACCTCCCTTGGGAGTCCATTCCAGAGCCTGGCAGCCCTAACTGTAAAGTAATGTCTCCTGATATCCAGCCTGAACCTTCTCTCTAACAAATTGTGACCATTATTTCTAGTAACCTCCAGTGGTGCCCGGGGGAACAGAGCCTCACCCAATTCCAGAGCCTCACTCAAGTTTCCAGAGTCTGAAATAGAAATCTCCCCAGAAGTGGTGCAAGCACCTACTCAGGATACCTTTTAAGAAACTCTTCGATGCTTATCTTGCTGGGGTGATCTGGCCCCAGCTGACTTCCTGCCCCTTGGGCAGGGGGCTGGACCCAATGATCTTGTGAAGTCCCTTCCAGCCCTAATGTCTATGAGAATACAAAATAAAAAGACACTAAAAAATAATTGCATTAAAAAATCACATTTCATATTAAAATATATGGGAATTAATGTTGCTTACTACAAAAATACAGCCTAACAATTCTTCCTTCTATACTGTTCACACAACGTTCAGAATTTTTGCTCTTAAACAGTCCAATCTTTAAGTGACCGGTCCTACCACTTCTTCCATTTAATTTAACATAAAGTAAATGTGAGTTTCTAGGGACTTCAAGAAAACTAAGAACATAAAAGTACTTAAATAGTTTGTAGAGGTTCACCAATATATCGGCCCATGTCGTTTCGGCAGCGATAAAAGGAAGAGTGACATTATCGGCAGTCTGCATTTTTTTGTCTGCTGTGGCCGATAATGTCACCGATAAATGCCACATGCATGCAGCCGCAACATGCACATGGCCAGGAATGCAGCCCAGCAGCTTGCAGATTGGTGTCTGGCTGGTAAGTTTGTGGGGGGAAGGGGCATAGGAGGTGAGGTGGCAAGGGGGAGGGAAGGGGCGTGGGGGCACCAATTGAGGCTCCCACAGTGAGAGAGGGAATGGGGCTGGGGGTGGGGCAGGGCCCAGCCTGGTGGGGAGGTGGGGTGGCTCCCACCACTGCCGATATGCAGCTCTGCAGCTTGGAGAGCAGCATCGAGCTGGTAGGTCATTGGAGGGAAGGGGCATCCTTCTAGTTTCCCAGGCACCATGCATTTGTGTACAGACATCTGAGGTAACTAGGCAATTGCCCTGGTTTCTCAGGAAGAATGAGGCCTCCCCCGCTGCCTCCTCTTGCTTGTGTGTCCTCCAAGTCACCTGTTTCCCTTCTTACCTCAGGGCCTTTATATTCATCTTTAATATAGAGCTTTTTTTGATTGTGATGTCTTTTGCTGGACCAAGTATATAGTTGGGAGAAGTTTAGATGCTTTGTGCCCAGAAGCTTGTGAAATTTCTTTTCCAACTATAAAGCTGGTCCAAGAACAAACATCCCAAAACTTTTCTTTCTTATACACCTCCTGGACTATCACAGCTACAACAACACTCCAACCCTACTATTCATTTTGATTCCCAGATTTCAGTTTTGTATATTATGCTATTCCTACCACACCTAATTATCAGCTCTATTGCTAGACCTAGTACAAGCACAGGCATATATTTGTGGAAGGGAGCCCTATATTGGACTACTAGCACTCAAGGTTTAAGTGTACAGGATTTATGTTTTCCGTGTTTGAAACTAAAGCCATATTGTGTAAGACAGATGATTTAAACTGGCTTTGTTCCCCTGTCGAAAGCTTCATTTCAATCCAGAGATAACAAGGCAAGGTTCTGTTTGTTTTACTAGACTGGACAGATGAAGTATCTTGGATTATCTGAATGGCTGCATTTTACAGGGCCTGTCATATTTTGATGAATCATTATTTGATCTATTCTTTATTGTCAGTATTTTTAGCATACATATTAATATCTTGGAGAACTTGGTGAGGAGGATCCTCAATTTTGTGTGGGTTTATCCACATTACAAATCAGCATAAGGACAACAGTGCTTTCCAGGTGCATTTTAGTCTTGATCCAGGAGAGAATAAGTTTTTGCTTAAGTTTTAAAGGATTTGGCTGTAGAGCAACCAGGTAATTTTCCCCAACATTTTAAGTGGTTTCCATTTATTTTGAGATACTGGCTTCCTCAATCTGATTGATTGCATCATAGACCAGGCAGATTTACATTTTTAAAATAAGATAGATATGCTCTATAGGATTTGCATATCATGATTTATATACAATTGCCATAGAA